GACATCCACGTTCAGGGGTCTGGATCAGTCCTGTACTGGCTTCTTAGTCAGCAGTCTGGGGGAAATAAAAACTGAGATACTATTTTTCTCTATTAGGAATGAACAGTGTCAAACTTTGTGTGTTTTTTGTTTGAAGTTTGTGTTCTTGGATGTGGTTGCTGAGGGGACAAAGTGTTCACATCCAGCCGCAGGCTTTCTACAGAACAGGGCTTATGTGGTATTGGCATCACAAGGGCCAGGGTATGGAGAGAAATTCTGTGACCATTCTGGGAATGATCTGTTAAAGCCTTCTATGCAATCAAATGGAATTCACGTTTGCAAAAGTAGCACTTGTGTAGCGCTGAGTAAGGCATAAGCAGGTGTCCCAGGAGTGAAAGTACCAGGTAAGAAACAAATTTGGGAAGAAGTGGTTAGAACTGGAGATTAGTACATGGGAGCTTGAAGTGTTTTGAGGAAATTCACACACCATCTGGAGATTCCAGCTAGAGGACATCATGAAGGCCTCTTCCCCAGAGTTCCCATAGCTGCCTCTGGAGCTCCTTCCTCACAGAGATTCCTAGGTCATGCTGAGGCAGGGGTTAGTCCACTTCTCCCCTCATAGGAAACCCCTGTAAGACATGCCCCCATTCAAGATGTCTATGATCTTGATGTCTTTGTGTGTGATGAGCTAGAAGGTACTGGGGTGACATAGGGGAAGTATTTTCTTGGAAGTATGCCCATGTGAGTTTCATAACCCATAGCCCCAGCAACTCTCACACTCTCATGAACTTTTGTGTTCTCAAGTCCAGGAAAACGAAGAGAGAAATTATGACTTGACCTTCCTGGCTATGGCTGCTATTTGTTGCTTTCAGATGACCCCATGCTCACACAATCATTATGTAAACCAACAATGCTGTGCCAGCTAGTTTTCTGTTGATTTGAAACAAGCTAGAGTCATTTTGGAAGAGGGAGCCTCAACTGGAGAAATGTACTCACCAAATTGGCCCACTGGGATATTTTCTTGGTTGAAGCTGTGGGAGTGCCCTGGGCTGAGGTGCTGTAAGAAATCAAGCTGAGCAAGTCCTAGGAGGTAAACCAGTCCTAGGAGGCGCAGTCTTTGTGGTTTCAGCTTCAATTCCTGCTTCAAGATTCCTGCCTTCACTTCTGCTGGGAGATTTTCTCCACCTAGTTTCAGTCCCACTTGACCAGTTTTTTTTCTACCCAATCAGGTCCCCGCAGTTGTTATGAAATAGCCACTCTGAGACTTCATATCTATTTATAATTGTTTGGCCATTGGCTTAGGCTTTTTACTGGCTAGCTCTTTCTTAATTATTAACTCATAACTATTAATCTGTGTATCGTCTTGTGGCCTTATCTTACAGGAGAATGTCCTTCCCAGAAGCTACATGACATCTGTCTGATTTGGCCTATTACTGCTCTCCTTGTTTGGATTTCCCAACTGGCTGAATCCTGCCTGTCCATTGGTCAAAGAAGCTTTATTCATCAACCAATAAGAGAAACACATATTCACAGCATACAGAAGGACCTCCCCCATCATATTTCCTTCAAAGATAGATTGTGATGTGCAAGTGCAATCCAGATAAACCCATTCCTTCCCAAGTGGCTTTTGGTTATGGTGTTTTATCCCAGCAATAAACTATAATCAAGACATAAATATCTAGAATGAGAGGAAAATGACCACTGACAATCCTACAAAAATGTAGTGTAAATAGTGGTTACATACAGTTTCATTTCAATAACAGATGCGATGGAAATGAAATGGGTAATAAAGGGTACTACTTCTACTATGGTTCAATTTATATGAAACTTGTACACACTCATGAATGTATGGATAGGATAAAATGTTTCATACAGCACTAAGAAATATGTATGCATATTGATATGCTGCTGAAAATCAATACACAGAGCTGGAGAGCTGGCTTAGCAGTTAGGAGCACTGGCTGCTCTTCCAGAAGACCTGGGTTCAATTCCCAGTACTTTGTGGCTCACAACTATTTTTAACTCTAGTCCAAGGGGATCCTATGCCCCTTTCTTGTTTTTTGGGGCATTGCACATATGTGGTACACATGTGGTATATAGACATACATGTAGGCAAAACACCCATATTCATAAAATTAAAATAAAAGAAAAAGCCCAGTGTATAGAAGTATCTGTTGTATTCTCATCCCACCCATCCACCTTCCTAGGAAAACATGCATGTCATTAAATGCTTCTAAGCAAGAACATCTCCTAAGGGAATATGTGCGGATTTCTCTCTCCCTTTCCCTCCCTCCCTCCCTCCCCCTCTGTCTGTCTTCTGTTCATCACAGGGAGAGGGAGAGGGAGAGGGAGAGGGAGAGGGTACACAAATGGGAACTGTGGGAATTGATTGGAAGTCGAGTGGAAACCATGTTCATGCCATGGATTCCATGGTCACTGTTCAGAAAGGAAATCTAGAAACACAAAGACAATGAATTAAACTCAGTGATGTGATTACTCCATTTCCACAGGGATCACCTCTATTTCTTTCAAGGAGGCTAACAAATACGCAACAGGATTCTGTTCTCTACATGGTCTGGCTGAGAATTGTGTAGTTGTTTTTTTAATACTCTTTTAGTGGGGCCTCCACCCAGTTCCCAAATAAATAAACAGAGGCTTATTATTTTGAATGAATGCTCAGCCTTAGCGTGGCTTATTTCTAGTCAGCTTTTCTTAATTTATTCCCCCTACCTTTTGCCTCTGGGCTTTTACCTTTCTCTATTTCTATATATTTTTTACTTCTTACTCCATGGCTTGCTGTGTAGCTGGCCCCTGATGCCCTCCTCTCTTTGTTCTCTTGCTCCTCCCTCCTTTCAGATTTCTCTTTCCATTTATTCTCTCTGCCTGCGAGCCCTGCCTATCCTTTCTCTGGCCTAGTTATTGGCCGTTCAGCTCTTTATTAGATCAATCAGGTGTTTTAGACAGGCAAAGTAACACAACTTCACAGAGTTAAACAAATGCAACATAAAAGGATGCAACACATCTTTGCATCACTAAACAAATATCCCATAGCATAAACAAATGTAACACACCTTAAAATAATATTCCACAACAGAATTGAGTTACAGAAAGTTGAGTCTGACCCCTGAGTTCTTACATGAAAGAACAAAGTTGGCATTATTCTTTATGCAATAAAAACTATCCCCTAAGTTCATATTTTTTGAAATTCATGTTCTATCACATAATTATGTAAATTCACATAAAAGTGAAAAGTGTTAGCTAGTAGGCAATTTCATTAAATACAATAAAGTACGAGCATAACTTGTCAATGTGTAGGACTGCATCTGTCATAATTTACAAGCCTGTAACTAGAAAACCCTGTACCATCATTAGTCGAATTTCAAAAAGTGTGCCTGTTTATTGTTTAAAGCACAAGCATTACAGAAATGGAGGAAATCCATGAGGCAGGAAACAAATTTTGTAGACTTCTCATTTTTAACACTTGCCTAGAAGCAATTTCTTTTTCTTTCTTTCTTTCTATTTATTTATTTATTTATTTTGGTTTTTCAACACAGGGTTTATCTGTGGCTTTGCAGGCTGTCCTGGAACTAGCTCTTGTAGACCTGGCTGGTCTTGAACTCACAGACATTTGCCTGCCTCTGCCTCCCAAGTGCTGGGATTAAAGGCGTGTGCCACCACTGCCTGGCCTAGAAGTAATTTCTAATTGTCTCTCTTTGTGAAAATTCCCACAGAACTGTCCAAATAGTGAGACTATGTGCCATGTTGTTTGTTAGTGAAAACCAATGTCTGAAGACTCTCCTTCGAGAACATGGAGTACCCTGAGAGCAATGCTTCCCACAGGCTGGCTCACTCTCTTGATCTCCAGCAGGGCCTAATTTAACAACGCTCCTTGTATAGCTCCTTCCAGAATGCAAGGAGGCAGAAAGACAAGAAGGAAACATGGAGAGAGCTGTGAAAAGATCCAATTGTCATCCACCTGCATACAAATCAGAATGTGTCATGGTGCAGTGTTGCAGACTTTCTTGGACTGCCAGGCCTCAAATTACGACGTGGAGACTTATTATTAGCTATGAGTGTTTGGCCTCCTTTGTCTTATGTTTGTTCCACTAGCTCTTAATAAATTACCTCAACCCATTTCTCTTCATCTACATTTTGCCTTCGGGCTTTATAATTTTCTTTCACTCTCTATGTCCTACTCTGTCTCTGGCTGGATGTCAGCTGCCTGGCTGGCTAGCCCTGGGCATTTCTCTCTTGTTCCTACTTATTCTTTCTGCTTGGCAGCCCTGTCTACCCCTCTGCCACCTAGCTATTGGCCGTTCAGCTTTGTATTAGACCAATCAGGTGCCTTAGGCAGGCAAGGTGAAACAGTAACACATGTAGCCTTACATCATTAAAGAAATGCAGCATAAAAAGATGTAACACATCTTTGCCTAGTTAAAGTAATAGTCCACCACAGTGCAGAGCATGAAAACATTCAAATGCCCAGAAAAGAGATGTGACATAAAATGGGTACCCTCTCACCACAGCCTCACTATCATAGAGGTACCTCTTTGAAACTTAGGTCACATAATGTTTCTACAGGCCTCCAAGCAGAGCGTTTGACAGAATCCGAAGACTCCAGAGCCCAATCACTGCAAATAGCACATATCGTTTGCATGAGGATTTATTCACAAAGTTTTTACTGAAGCAATCCTTATGGATATGCTTAGGGCCAGCCAGAGGTAAAAGTGGTAGAAGTTTGGGAATGAAAGTCCTTTTGGCACCTCTGGCTCTTGGCTGAGGCAGGAGAAAAGCAATTCAGGACACAATGTGCCAAGTAAAGTAATTCTTTATTATGAAAACAAATGGTCACCTTTAGAGGAAAGCAGAGAAATCCCTCCTGGCGTTATCTAACCTACATGCTAAATTTGGGTTTTTGAACAGCTAGGCCTCTACTCCAAGGCATGGGAGAGGCCTTATAAACAAACAGAAATAACGTGTATGAGGCAGAATACCACATCCACAGGAACCGCTTAGAGCATTTATTTGAAGAATTCCTTTGGGATCTTGTCTTCATTCTGCAGAGAAAAAGTTAGGATGTCAGAAGATCGTGAATTTGATCCCCAGGCTACCCAGACTCCATCTTGCTGAAGGCACAGAGACATCCAACTTTTACCCACTCGATACCCAGACCCCACCTGCATAATGGTGAAGACCTCAGCAGCTTTGGTGTAGTCCCATCCATTGTCTTCAAGACACCTGGAGTGACAGAAATAACATGATCAATTTAATAGAGTCATAAAATGCCTTTGACAAAATCCGACACTGCTTCGAGAAATGCCCTGTATATAGTAGAAATCAAGGAAACATTTATCAGCATAGTAAAGGCTTTAAACAATAACCTTATAGCCAACATCATACAACAGAGAAAAACTCAAGACATTGTCACTAAGATCAATGGAATAAGACACAGATGTCCACTCTTTACACCTCTTTTCAATACAGTGCTTGAAGTTTTATCTAGAGCTGAAAGAGAAGGAGCTAAAGGAGATAGATACAGTTAGGAAAGGAAAAAGGCAAAGTGTCTTTTTATTTGTAGATGATATGATTATGAATCTATACCCAGGAGTATTCCTTAATAATTCAACCACAACATTTTTTCTAGAATTAATTTTCAGCAAAGAGGCAACATATCAAATCAACAAACATTCTTAGCCTTTCAACATACCAATGACAATCACTGAGATAAAATCAGTGTAATTTCTGAGAAAGAAATCATGGAAATAATTCCATTAACAATAGCATCAAAAATAACTTGGGAGTGTAGCCAACCAAAGAAATGAAATACTTGTACAATGAAAACTTAAGAACACTATGGAAAAAATAGAGGAAGAAATTAGAAGATGTAAAGACTTCTCATACTTATAGTTCATAAAAATAGTATTGTGAAATATCTGTTCTGCAAAACAATCTACCAATTTAATACAATCCAAATAAAACTTGAAAGTCTATTCTTTACAGAAATAGGAAAAGCAATCCAAATATTCATATGGAGACACAAAAGCCCCTGCATAACCAAATTACTTCTGAACAATAAAAATACTGCTGGAGGTATTACCACACATGACTTCAAGTTATAGTAAAGGAATCACAGTAATAAAAACATCAGAGTATTGGAACAGATATAAAACCAAGCAACTACAGTTACCTGATTTTTGCCAAAGGTAAGAAATACATATGGATAAAAGAAAAAGAAAACTTTCTTCAACAAATGATTAAAATCTAGAAAAAAGCAGCAGTACACTACATAGTATAGGTATGAGTATAAGGACTTTCTGAATGGGACTCCAGTAGCTCACCAACAATTGACAAATGGAACTTCATAAAATTAAAAGTTTCTATAGTGAAAGAAAACTGCCAAATGAGTGAAGAAGCAGCCTACAAAAAAGGAGAAATTACTTGTCAGCTATAACCCGACAGATAATTAGTAACAAAATACATAAAGAACAGTAACAACAAAAACCCAAAACCAACCTCCCCCCCCAAAACCCACCCTGAACATCAAGAAAACAATCCAATCCTAATAAATACGTGCTTTGGGACTGAAGAGAATGTTCTCAAAATAAGAAATAATGTATACTTTAAAAAGTGTTCCAATACCATTAGCCATCAGGGAAATGCAAATTAAAACTATTTTGAGTTTCCATTTCACCTCAGCCAAAATGATTATTGTGAATAAAATAATCAAGTGACAGCAGGCTAAAGGGAAAGGGAACTTTCATTCACTCACTGTTAGTGAGAATGCAGACTGGCGTGGACACCATAGAAATCAGTGCGGATGTTTCTCACAAAATGAAAAATCTAAATTCTGCATGTTCCAGCTATAGTACCCCTAACCATATCGAAGAAGAACCGTACAACAGAGATGCCAGTACATCCACGTTCACAGCAGCTCTATTCACAATAGCTGGGAAATGGAATCATCCTGGATTGGTCCATCTACTGACAATGAAAATGTGCTACATATACACAATGGTAGTTGGATGTTTATGCTGGACTGATGTGACCCAGGCCCAGAAAGACAAATTCTGTATGTTTTCTCTCCCAAGTTTGAATTTAGATTTCTGTATTTAATTTTGAGTACCTATAGAGACCAGAAAGACAAAAAGGAGCCACACAGGAACACAAAATGGGAAGAGACAGTAAAACATAAGGGATATGAAATTACAAGTGAATGTTGGCTATGAAAAGGCTTAAATGGGGTTGAGGTAGGGGTATTGGGGAAATACAGGCAGGAAATGAATGAAAACTAAGGATGCAAGGAGAAAAACCAGAAATCCGCTATTTTATAAACTAAAAATATATTTTTTGTTTTTTTATTTTCAATATTGATTTATTATTTTATGTATAGGAGTATTTTGCCTGCATGTATGCATGTGCATTATATGCATGCCTAGTGCCTAAGGAGCCCAGAAGAGGACATCTGATTCCCTGGATTAGAGTTACATAGTTGTGAAGCACCACGTGTGAAGGGTTCTAGCAAGGTTTGCCTTTTGCCTTTCTCCTTCTTGCTAAACTGTTAGATTGCATTCCTAAAGCTATCCACCAAGGTCTATTCTCTTATTTGGCCTCTGACTCATTCCTGAGACTGATCACCAAAGTCCAACTATTAAAACATCAAAGTTCAGCAATCAAAATTCATCATTTTGACTAACATAATTAAAATACCTCATCAAAACTCACCAACATATTCTAGCTCATTCTTATATCTCCCCATTGTCCCTCTTAACACGAACACTTGCAAAGGTATTTTGGTGCTATTTCTGCCTGATTCATATATAGCCACTTTATCTCTTTGCCTTGCTTAATGAAGGATCTCTTTGTATTTGATTTGTGCTTAGAAACTGGCATTTGGGGGTGGTCTGTGCCTAATTAAGGTCCTGGGGGCAGCACTCCACAATACTCAGGCCCCTTCATTGTGGGTACTGGGAACCAAATCTTGGTTCTCTGGATGAAGACTTCAACATACAACAAGAACTCTAAACTTCTGAGTCCTCTAGCCCCTCATTTTAACATTTTAAGTCAAAACACAAATATAAACCACTGGGAATGAAGGCACACTTCATGGATAGTGTTGTGTAGTAGCTTCCTACAAGATTAACATCTTCTATTTTGGAGGGATGCTCATTAAGATACAGAATGTTAAAAGGGAAACAAACCAATGGAATGTTTTAAGAGAAGGTGACCTTGTGGACCCCACAACCCCAAGTTCATGTTAACATGTCTATTATTTTTGTCCTTGTGCAGTTCATGTTTAGGCAGTCATGTTGGTGAGACATTATGGGTGTAGGTTCTGATATTCCTGACACAATCTCACAGAAAACTCTCCATTCTGTTGGTTCTTAAAATCTCCTTGCCCCCTCTTCTGCAATGATCTCTGAGCCTTATGTGCAGGCAGCTAAGGAATGCTGAGAAAGGGAGAAATAGTCTTCTCCAGGGAAAAGCACACACCAACTGGTTATGCAATACCAAATGGTCAGCCCTGGGAAAATAAAAACATTCAAGTAACATACAGAATGAGCAGGTTGTATTTATGTAGTTAGGAATACACACACACACACACACACACACACACACACACACACAGCAACAATTAATGAAAAAAATGTCATGAATTGGAAAGAGAGCAAGGAGTGGTATATGAGATGGTTTGGAGGGAAGAAAGGAAAGGAGGAATGATGTAATTATATTATAATCTCAAAAAATAAAATAAGCAATTTTCCCTAGCACTTGGGAGGCAGAGGCAGGTAGATCACTATGACTTCGAGGTCAGCCTGGTCTACTGAGCGAGTTCCAGGACAGGCACCAAAACAATACAGAGAAACCTTGTCTCAAAAAAACAAAAAAGTGAAACTTTTCATCAACAATTCAATAGCTTCAGAAAGTCACAGAAACTGACTACATTCACCAGCCCTCTTCCTGAACACAAATATCTCCAATATTTGCTCTTTTAATACTATCTCAGAGTTCCCCTTTCTCCATTCTTCACTTTTTCTTTCTTCAGCTCTACCTTTTTCATGTTTACTAATTTGTTCTGTATGCTTTATCCACAAGTTTATGCCTTCTATCACATTTTGAATTGTGCTACTGTGCTGAAAAGTACTCAGCAAAGAGATACAAACAACGATCAAAACCCAAATATATGTTGAGTTTCTCTTAAGAGGTACTTAAATATTTCTGACTTTACCATCACAGAACTTCCGTAGAGCAAGTGTTAATTTTGTTTTCTATCTGGGAGTTATCCTGTCCTGATTAGTGCACAATGGAGGGTGGGAGGTGGTCACCATCCTTTTGACTTCTGAAGCAGCTCCTTTTGTTCAGCCATGAGGTTATTCACATGGTGTTAAGGGATGTGTGGGCTCTAGCCAGCACTGAGTTTTACTGAAGCAGTTCTGGACTCTCCTTCCCCCAAGTAAGAGGTGACTCTATGGGTGTCATATTTGACACCACGTGGTGGTTTGAGAATGAAAATGGCTCCCATAAGCTCATATATTTTAATGCTTAGTCACCAGGGAGTGAAACTCTTGAGAAGGATTAGGAGGTTGGGCCTTTGTGGAGGAAGTTGCCTCACCGGGAGTGATCTTCAGAAGCCTCTCTTTAACCTGCACATCAGGATGGAAAACTCTCAGCTACTGCTCCATCAATCACATGCCTGTCTGCCTCCTGCATGATGATCATGGACTAACCTTCTAAAGCTGTAAGCCAGACCACAATTAAATGTTTTCTTTCATAAGAGTTGCCTTGCTTATGATGACTCTTTATAGCAATAGAACAGTGACTAAGACACATAGGCTCTTTATTTCCTGTCTTAAAGGATGTTTCATCATTTTGTTACCTGATATCCAGGGCTCTTATCCTGGCCACTTTGTGTCTGAATACTGTCCAATTTGTGTATGTGAATAGATATTGCTGGGAAAACTTGATTTCTATGTTATAGTCACCTGCTCCCCACTATAGTTTTTCAGCATTTGTTCTTCTTTATTTTTCTATCACTGGAACTGTTTTCTCAATTTAACTTTGGGATATTTAATGGTGATATACAGAAATGCAAATAATTATTGTATATAAAAATCTGGTGAATTTGTTTTTTCACTTCTAATAGTTTCATAGTGGATTCCTTATGATTTTCCATATATAAGATACACCACTTGACTATTATAGTGTTTTAAATCCTTTAAAAAGATCAGTATAAATTAGGATATACTTCCCTGAGCCCACTTTGGGGAGGGGAATAAACATCCTAATTGTTTTTCTAATTGCCAGCAAAGTACCATTATTTACTTGATCTCCTACCCCACCCATTTTTTTCACAGCCAGTACTTACTTCTGAGACCAATTAAGTTTCATTCCAGATTGCACAGAGAAAGACTTCACCATTTCTTGCTGCTCTTCAGAGAGTGGAGGCTTGGAAGAAGTGTCGGCTGGTGGCAATGAAATAAAGGCATTCTTGATCTCTCTGGGGCTGGCATTCCTCACAATCAGCTCATCATTCATGATGCATATTCTGGAGGAAAAACAGACACTCAGACAAGTAAACAAATGGATACGCCTACATTACCAATGCCAATCCTACAATAACTGCCAATCACTAAGCAGACTGTTTCCACAGTCCATCTATGCCTGATTCCCAACATCCTTGTCTGCTTCTCTATCCATCCCATATAAAGTTCAACTTTTAAAGACTAGCTTGACTAGATTTGTGAATTTAACCCCAATGTATTTACCCTGCATAACATAGGAAGACTGTGAATCAGAGATAAGCCCAATGTTGTGGCCAATAACATAGCATGTAAATATCCTATCATGAAAGAACATAGTATTCTGATCTCAAAATCCACACTCTCAACCAGCAAGCTAAACTACTGTATCTACTTGTTGGCTTTCTACAGTAGTGAGAATACCCTGAGAACTGCACCATCATATTGCGACTCTGCTGGCTTTAGACAGGGACAACACAGCACTGACCTTGAATTGCTGTAATGGGTCGCGATGAAGATCCTTGTGAAGGCGCGAATACAGCCTTGACATTTTCCTTCCACTTCAAGGAAAAGAAACAGTAATGCTTTCTTAGAATAGCACCTTATTTACATACGCAAACAACATTTCCAAGTCAGGTTCTTATGCTGAAGTGGCCTGGACCAGGCAGTTGTTGGCTTGGAGTCAGAAGGGTATGGCAGGAATGGGGAGGGAAACAACAGTAATAATTCATTCCCATTTGATGTGCCCCCTCCCTCATTTTGGACCCTGTGAAAAATCACTTCCAGTGTGATTTTTGATGAGTCTTTTTCATATGTGTCACAGATGAGTTTAATTAGTCACATTTTACAAGTAGAGAACTGAAGATGTTAAGAAACTGGCCCAAAGCTACAGAGTATGGAATTGGAATGAGAATCAACAAACTTGTGTCTTTTGCCTGTGAGCTATGAGACAGAAAGGCACGGACTCAAGTCAGATTAGGATGGTTTGTATGCTCTAGAACAGAGGAGGGCAGGAAGGAAAAGGACAGAATGAGAGAATCTGGAAGACTTCTCAGGGGTGCCCATCCAGGGGAGAAAGCAAAGGGTCCTAGAGAAGAAATTCTACACTCACTCACTCACCTTCCTTGAACAATCCATTGACCGAAAAACAGAGCATTATGTCCTGAAAGGGAAGAGAGTATAAGCTATGAGATCAGGATCTTACGCACCTCCAGCTTTCTGGATATGACCTACAGAAGACCCGAGTACTCACTGTGTGTAAACACAAGTCCACCCAGAAAGAGCAGAAATCGTGCTGAGTTTTGGGTAACAAACTAAGAGAGTCCACGATGTCCTGTTTTGTGTGCTTCAGCAATCGCATTCGTGTGTCTACAGAGAAGAAAAGATTAGGGGCATGATAAACTGTCCATTTACCGTCCCCCCCAATTTTTCTCTTTACTCCCTTACCCTGCCCAGTCTTCTCCAACACACTTACATGAGTCTTGCAGCTTTTTTATATCTCTGTTATATTTGAAATACTCTTCCAGGTTGCTCCTAGGAGAAAAGAGGAACAGAACTCCATGTTCCACCTAATATAGGCATTTCCTAGTGAGAGGCACACTACTCCAGAACATAGTTAGAGCTGTGATACTCACATGTCTGGGTCATTGAAGTTGAAAGGAATGGCCAGGGAGAAGCAGGCCTCATCATGGTAAGCATCAAGGAGACGAAAACGATCACCATTATCATAACACAAGTAATACCTAGTAAGGGTAAGGAGCATAAAATAAGGGGACAGGCTATTTCTGTTGTCTGAACCCTAATTGAGACCTAAAACCTCCTATTGGAAAATGTGAAAAGGCAGTCCAATATGGCTCAATTTTCCCCCCTTTCTTGTAGTCCAAAGGGTACTTACTCCTTCAGAAACTGTAGAACTAGATTTTTTATGAGTTCAGAATCTGTACGTGTTTCCTGAAATAGAAAGTAATTTCAGACTACAAAATAACAAAGTCTCTTTTGCAATGCCACATATCTTTCTTGGTCCTTTCTCACCTTTCTTACTTGGGGGACTTCTATGTCCATTTGTGCTGGTAATATTAGCTCCGCTGGTAATATTAGCTCCTTGCCATCCTGAGGAAAGGAAGAGAGGGTTAGCAATACATGGGGTAAATGGAACTGAATGTCCAAGAAGATCCAGAGACCCAAAGGGAGAAAGGCCAGAGGCAGGGTTTTAACTGCCCCTGAAAATTCCAGGGGTGATATAGTGAGCCTGTTTAATGGAGTTGTGGAAATCTCTATTGTATGGAACATTTGTGTGTCTGTGTTGCTTATGGATACTTTCCCAGAGAAAATACTGATGTTTTTCAGGAATCCACATAATCTGAAATGAATGATGGCCTGATGTAATCTACATGAAAATCAAGTTTTAGGGCAGGTGTGAAGTTAATTTATGAGAGGAAGATAAGACGATGTTGAAGGTAGGAACTTACCAGGCGCAACAACTTGGGAAATAGGTCCCGTATGGCACTGTTCAAAAACCAAAAGAAGTGATTAGAAGTTCAAGTTTAGCTAGCTTTTCTTCCTTTGGGGCACCTACTTATTCTCATCCCTCTTTTTCTCCCAGAGTTTCTCAGGGCCCATGGCTTTTTCCTCTTCCTTGTTTATATTCTTTACCTCAGAGTACCCACAGAAGAATCTGTAGGGAGCAACGCACTGGGTAGGAGCCCAGGGCTCTGCCACCTTGTTAGGTTAGGCAGCCAATGTTTTACAGGATGCTGAAACAGGGAGTGAGGAAGGCAGGCTCAGGACTCAAGAAATAGGAAGGTGGCACCAGAAATGAAGTTAAAGTAAGGTGTGGGAGATGTCAGGGAGACATAAAAGAGTAGAGCCAAAATAGAAGACACCCAAAGGGAATGGGATCTGTCTGGCCTGGTGCTAGAGGTCAGGGATATGGGTAGGTTGGTAGGTTAGTTTATAGGTAAGTAGGGAAGGATGGAGGGAGGGATAGAGGCCTCTGGGAGGTCTGTTTTTCTGTCTCTTTAACCACTTCTGCTCTCTGCTCCCTAGTGGCAGCCCACTTCTGGATCCTTGATCTAGGGAATTCTTCATGTTTCCCTTCAAGGAGGGTAGCATTGTCAACAATGGCACAGAGAAATTAATGTCCATGTCAGCATTACCCATTGTCTCAGCCCTCAGTTTAGAGCAGTACAGCCTTCAGGGAAGCCTGGCACAAATCAGGGGTAGTTCAGGAACAAGAACAGAAGGCTCCTCTCAAGACAGGAGGGGAAGGATGGTGTAATTGGGATGTCACATGAGAGGATTCTGGAGAAGCCTAGATGTTCTGAAAAGTGAAAAACAGCCCAGACTAGGTGAATGGAAGGGATTTCTGAGAGCATAGTGGAACATAGAGAAGGCAGAGCCTATCTTCCTCCCAGAGGATCAGAGACAAGTACTCTTGCAAAAGTGCGTATCAAGAGTAGCTCAAGCTACAAGGTGGTCACTACAGGGAATGGTGCCTGTGACAGTTAGTTCTGATTGTGGACTTGACCTAAAGTAGAATCACCTGAGTAGGGAGTCTCAATGAGGAACTGTCTAGACTGTGGCATGCCTACAAGGGATGAGGTGGGAAGTCCCACCCAGAACATAGGTGGCACCATTTCACTGGCTAGGCTTTGGACGGAATGAAAAGAAACCATGAGCTGAGCACTAGTATGCATTCATTAATTCATTGCTCTCTTTTCTTGACTGTGCATGTGTTATGATCAGCTCCTTCAAGTTCTACCACACTAACTTGGAAACAATGGTTAGCCTTAACCTGCAACTGTAAGCCCAATAAGCTGTTTATCCCTTAAGTTGCTTTTGACAGTGTATTTTATCACAGCAATGAGAGACAAAACTATGCCCCTGGCAATGAAGGGGAAAAAGACTCAGCAGGTATAATGTACCTTATATAGTCAGACTGATCGGAGACATGGTTGCAGAAGGGGTTCCCTTCTAGCCACAGCTCTTCCAGATTTAGATCCTTCACCTTCTCCAACTCAAAAAATGATTTCAGCTGATAAAGATGAGAAGGAATTGGTAAAGCTGTCCCAAGGAAAGAGCAACCTTGGGGCCCAGTAACTGCAGCCTCCACCCTCCCTCATAAGTGTCTCCCTGCCTCTTTACCATAACCCCCCAGTGTACACGACCACCCAGACTCGACACAACCCACATCTGGCTCCCCTTCTCACTTTATTTCTGGAGAGGTTCAGAATCTTAACTTGAGGGGCCTTCTCTATCAAATCAGACAGCCCATCCAGCTGGTACAATTTGTTGTTGCACACGTTCAAGGCCAAGAGCTTTCAGGGGGATAGAATTAAGAGATATGGTTACTATTCTGGTGCCTTGGTGACAAATGTTCCCTTCATCCCATCCCTTTGAACCCCCTATTTAAATAAATGCACTCAAGTCTATGGCCTCACTTCAGGGATATTTCTTTGAACGATCTGTAGTGTAGCAATCATGCAGCTTCTTCGATTCAGCATCATGTCAATATCATTGTCCATCAAGTCTTCAGAAAGTGGAACAAAAGGAAATAGAAGGCTGTCAGGTGTCCACTTGGATCAGCATTGTAACAGATAGACACCCTTCCCAAGCTTCCATCCCTGTTTTCTTCTTAGGAAGATCTTTCTACCCTCATATGATCTATATAGAATTTCTTTAGTCAGCCATACCTTGGTCAAAGCGGAACCTCTGGAGGTCCAGAGATTTCTGAGAGGCATCATATCGTTTCATCACAGCCACCTGCAGACACAGAGGTAGAGAGAGTGGCTCTAAGGCTCTGGGTTCATAGTGTCAGGAATGTCAGGGAGTAAGAGGAAAAAGAGGTGGGTCTGGGAAGAAGACACACAACATGCCTTAGGTCTGCATTACCTTTAGCACCTCCATTTGTTCTGATGTGAACTTATTCTGCACAGAATAGGGTACAATAGAAGGAGTGACCAAGATAGGTATCTGTGAGAAGGAGAGACAGGTAAGTACTGTGACCTCTAATTCCAAAGATGATGCTCAGCTCCTGGCCAGTCACCACCCCTTTCAGGACTAGTTACAGAAAATGCTATTAGCACACACCTTTTGGCTTGTCTCATCGCAGATCTTGTTGCTGATATCCTTCAATGCAGAGGCAGTTCTAGCATTCTGGACAAAGAACCGGGCCCGCTTTTTGTCATAGTGGAACTATGGGCAATGAAAGGAAAAAAAGAGACATGTTACAAGACAGCAGCTAGCTCCTGCTGAGCTTGGCCTCCCTCCTCCATTCCCTTGTGTCTATCTGGCTTCATCGACAACGTTTCTTCTTACATCAACAACGTTTAAAGGCACACTGCAGAAGTCCTGGATTGATTTTATTAGCCATGTCTTGTCATACTTTTTTCCATTTGGAATCTACATTTACAAATAAAAACATGAGAGAAAAGAGAGACAGGATGGAATTAGGATGGAGAACAGACTTTACTACCAGCTTTTCTTTCTTGACCTTATACGCAGCTTTAAAAAACTTCTAAGGGGGTCTCTGACATGATTCTTTGTTTTTTTATGCACAAAGTAGACTTCCACAATGAATGGTTCTCAACCTGTGGGTTGTGACCCTTTGGCTGTTGAAGGACCTTTTCATAGGGGTTGCATATCACATATTTACAGTATGGTTCCTAACAGTAGCAAAATTACAGTTGTAAAGCAGCAATGAAAATAATTTTATGGTTGGGAGGTGGTCACTCCAACATGAATAACTATGAAATGGTCCTAGTATTAGGAAGGTTGAGAACCTCTGTCCTAGGTTCTTCCTCTCTTCATGCAATAGCATTTCTCCAGGTAATTGATTTGTTGTGATCAATATGATCATCCTTCTTTTAGGATCCAGAATATTCTATGTAATACAGACCTTATTGAGGATACTCACTGTGACCTTGAACCAGCTGTCCAGGTTTCTATTTCTAGCACCCAGACCCAGTTCACTCTCCTGTTGTTTATCATCTTCCCACACAGAAGGAAAGTTTTGGTCTTCATCACTGTATTTTATTCTCCTCCTTTTGGGCCTTGAGGCATAAGGCGTACTAGGGAAGAGAAAGAAGCAACGTGTCTATAAAATGCTAACCCATTTTTTTTATGAATCACCCCCTCATTAATAGCAAGGCTACAGTTAGAGCTGCTAAACTAGTATTCAATCTCTTATCGCTCTTCAGTTTTTCAGTGAAAGAAGGCCACAGAGAATGAAAGAGCTGCATAGTCCCAGGGGCTGCTACCTGCCAATTAAGCTACCACCCACTATGTTACTTTGGACATCCCTTATTGTCATCCATTCTGAACATCCCTTAGTGCCATGCTTTCATTATTCTCTTGGAATTTTGAAGATAGAAGCACATACCCAGGATGCCCCAAATGATGGTTCTTTCTGTCAAATTTATGCCCGATATAATTCGAACTTCTCTTTCTTCCTTGAAAAACACTGTGGCCATCCATGTTGCATTCTGAAACTGGGCACAATACAAAATTGAAGACACAGCACCATGTATAATACAACACGAACAATTTATTATTGTTAACCAGGTAAGTATGTTTTTCCAGGCCCTATACATCCTGTGCTCTGTCCTAGCTTGGTGCCTTTAACTGACCATACCCTGCCTGTACCTTCCCCAGTATCAAAACCCATGCCTAGTCCCAGTCTGGTAAGTCTGCACTTTCCCCAATCTTGAGTTTTGGGTCAGTGGCACATCCTGTGTGCCAGCTCAGCCTGTTGTGTCCACATTAGACACACAACCAACAAAAGAAGTACACATGTCCAGGGATCACTTCAAAAATACAAACAATATAAAAGGTCAAGACCTGATTGATGTCCTCCCGCACCAAATTCATCAGTTGTATAGAAATGTTTTCCAGTGAAAATTACCTAGATGAACCCCAGGGTATAGAACTCAAAAGAACACTCAAACTTCACCAAAACTTTCAAGGAGTTTAAAAAAGACACTGGCAGCTAAATGAACTCAAAGAAAAGGAATTTAAAGAGAATATTAATGTTATCCAAATGGATTAATGACCTCAATGTGAAATCTGAAATGCTGATAACGGTAGAAGAAAATATAGGCAGTAACCCACAGGACATATATGTAGGAAAGGACTTTCTGAATAAGAATCCTTTTCCCCAGGAATTAAGACCAACAGTTTATAAGTGGAGTCTCATAAGAACAAATCTTCCTGTGTATCTAAAGAAAAAGTCAATCAAATGAAGAGGAAGCCCACAGAGTAGTTGAGAATCTTTGGCAGCTACACATGAGACAGAAATTAATATCCAGCACATATAAAGAACTTAAAAAATGACCCAGGTGTTGGTGGTTGGTAGGGAGGTAGGAAAAGGAGAACCCCTATTCATTGTTGGTGGGACTGAAAACTGGTGTGGCCACTCTAAAAATCACCATAGAGAATTTTTAAAAAGATAAAAATGACACTAGGGAGGCAGAGGCAGGTGGATCTCTGTGAGTTCGAGACCAGCCTAGTCTACAAGAGCTACTTCCAGGACAGAATCCAAAGCCACAGAGAAACCCTGTCTCGAAAAACCAATAAAGAAAAAAAAAGATAAAAATGAATCTACTAAGTGACACAGCTATACTACTCCTTGGTATGTGCCAAGAAGACTCTACTTCCTAGTCCACAAATGCTTGCTCAGCTGTGTTAATTGTCACTCTAGTCACAACAGCTAGGAAATGGAAATAATGAAAAAGTGGAACATTTACACAATAGAATATAATTCGGCTATAAAGAAAAATGAAAATTTCAGGTAAATTAATGGAACTAGAAAATATTATATTGAGTGAGGTAACCCAGATACAGAAAGACAAATACTGTGTGTTTTCTCAAATTATGGTTCCTAGCTCCAAATCATCAGGTGTGAGTATATAACCTGAAGTAATAGCAAAACCCAGGAAAGTAGAAAGACACCATGGCACAGGGAAAGCTAGAGAAGGGTATTGAATAGCAAAGATACAGGTGACACTAAGGAGGAATGTTAAAAAGCAGGGGGGGGGGGCTTTAATTGGAGAACAAGGACAGAGGAAAATACAGAAGGAGAAAGGAATAAATAACAATAAGAATGTGTGAAAAAGGCATAATCAGTGTAATGTGTATGTATACACACTCACAGTTTAAATGGAGTTATGTCTTTTGGGATGACGAGACACTCCCCAAGAGTCACAGACTAACAAAACCTAGAGTACCAGATATGAGAATCTTCCTTCTGAATTGTTGCTCACAGGCTCATAACAATATAAACTATTGCTGTGGCCCTTGGTTACCTATCAGAAGTTTCTATTGCTGAAGACAACACATGCTTTAGATACAAGACTCAATGGATTTGAGATGGTCTGACTCCAAAGCCTCTTCCTTGAGGACTAGCTTTTTACAGTCCTGGAAGGTGCTATGAATGCTGCCAAGGGAGGGAAGCAATTAACAGTCCTACCCAGAAGTGATGCCAAAGATCAGCATGGCAAGATATCCTTAAAGATACAATAGAGACACATATCTTGGTGTTAAGCAACACCTGTCTAGTTGAACTTAAGGCCTGCTCAGACAGAGGCCATTACAGAAAACCACAGCTGGTCAAAATGCAGCAGATTACAACTGACTGTGAGGTGCCTAGCCCTAGCTAATACATCTAAAACACAATTCCTACATTTTAGGCTCAGAGAACATTTCAGAAGAAGGGGCAGAACGATTGTAAAAGTCAGACTCAGTAAGTCTGCTGCATGGTTCTGATTTGTAGATATGACAGGGAAGCTACACCTATGAAATCTCAATACAGCTGTTTTAAAAATACCGGAACTATGACATCATCAGTTGATAGGCAACAAGGATGGGGAAATGTTCATGGGACTATACTCCTAGATGAAGAGCTACAGTAAATTAAAGACTGCTGAGAAAGGGAGAATTAGTCTTACCTAGGTATAAGCCCCCTAAATGATTATCCAATGTCAAGTGGTCAGCTCTAAAAAGCATACACATATGAGCAACAGTAAACAGATTCAGCAGGTAGTATTTATATATTTGTTTACATATATACAAAAATATTAATTTTGAAAGAAACTATGGATATGAGATATTAGAGGACAAGTATGAACAGAGAAGAGGGAGGGGAGATGATATGATTATATTTTACTAAAGAAAACAAATGTAAAAAACAGGACATTACTAGTAGTTACATACTTTGATCATATGATAAAGATTTAATTTCAAAAAGTAACTGTTGTCTGCTGACTTTTTAAAATTAATTGGATTTTAGCTAAGAGGAGCAAGAAAAATGAAAAAGATGGTTTTTGAAGACCACTATGATATACTAAGTCAAAAACACTAAATACTCCTAAGTTTGAAAAAATACTCCTTTACCACATTCCATATTAGCAACAATGTTTAAATTCCTGTAGTATGAAAATCCTTTTACCTGAATGATAGGATGGCCCAGATTTCTCAGATGATACATCACAGTGCTTTTGCTGTAGGTCAAAGTTAGTGTTGTACAGAACAGGTGTGGAAGGCCTGAGGTAAAAGAAGAATGTGAATGGTTTGTTAAGCTGTATGCTATAAAATACCACAAACTAGAAGGTTTTTAACCTTAGTACATTTTTTTAAACAGGCTTCCTCACTTGTGTAGCCCTGGCTGGCATGGACTTCACTATGTTATGCTAGCCTGGTCTCAAATAACCAGCAATACTACTTCCTGGTTTCTGCCTCTCAATCACTGGAATTTACAGGCATTGACCATCAACCACATCCAACTTGAATACATTCGAGTAGCTCAAATCCCCACAACAGTTGCCCGATGATTTACTTATCTAATACTATTTTAATATAACTCACTTATAATTTTACTTACTATGCTTAAAATACACCACTATTCATAATAAAGTTACAGAGAGTGTTTTCAAGAGGGAGTGAAATAAGTGGTAGTTAGAAACTTGGGGAAAGGAGAACAAAAAAAAGTGCTTGGATAAGATAGTAAGATAGTTGGATTTCCCCGGTTCAATGAGATTAGGGCACACCACACTTTGAAAAACAACTGAATTTCAAGTAAATATTCAGAAACAAAGTCTACATGTTTATACGATAACTAGGTTGACATTTCCAATACTTTTCAAAGTCTTTCTTCCTGTCTTTTAAATGAATTAAAAAAGCTGAAGAAGTTAAGATTGGATTTCCAATGGTCCATAGGAACTGACATTTAGGAAGTTGAGCACTTGGCAGGAAGAGACAGCCACATCCCTGGGGGTTTGAAGCTAGCCTAGGCAACAGAGCTAATTCCAGGACAGCCAGGTCTACACAAACAAAAACAAAACAAAAGGGATGAAGAGAAACATTAACAAAAATGTCATAAGAGGAACCATTAGTTTTTCAAGCAAATATTTAAAAGGCAAAGATGCACAGACAATAAATAAAAAGGCGATAATTAAAAGATGAGGCTTCTGAGAGGAAGGCATTGTCCTGGTGCAGCAAGGCCCCAAAAAGTTTGAATTGCAGCTGCGGCCCCTTTGGCTCACCCGATGAGGACACTGCTTTCCTTGCCAACACAGAGAAGCCCTACCCCCATCCCGCCCCAGACAGCGT